CCCATCGTCATGCCATTCCCTAACTGCCCTCTGTGGCACAGTGGTACTGCAAGGACTATAAATCTATAGTTAAATCCATAGGTTGAAACGCCCTGAGCTTCCCACACCAAAGCCGGCAGATCTTCCCCGTGGTGGAAATGCTACTGAAATGCCCTACGTTGTGAGTAATCAAAGTTTTGTTGTGACCATGGCTGAGAGCCTCCAGCCCTCCCCATTGTCACTGGCAGCTCGAGCAACCTGATGGAGCTCCATGACAGGATAAAGACATTTAAATATTAAAAAGTGCACTGAACAGGTCCAGTTTTGAATGATTCATTCAGGCTGCTGCCGGTGCTGCCAGTACAAGTGCTGCACAGCATGACTGGAAAGAAGTTGCAGAGGGTAAGAAAATTAATTTCTTAAAAAAAACAAGTATTCGCTGTCTCCAGGGTCAGGTTTAGTAATAACTGGCTGGCCGCTGCACAAGGGGAGGGTTTCCTTGCCCGGGAGCTCCGAGTGTAGGGGTGAGGCCAGAGCACAGAACGGCAGCTAGGTAACTTCGTTCCCAGGCTAAACTGACTTCATTTGCTTGCACCACAGCATTCAGGGGAGCTCATGCCGGGATTCATAAACCACAGGTAATGTGACCTACTCTCCCGCTGACCCAGAGCACTCCCGCTGTGAAGCTGCTTCTCCTCGGGAGCGTGTCCCTGCTCGAGCGTGAGGGGCTCAGTAAATGAGCTGCTGCATTCAGTACCTCGCTGGGAGGCTTTTGGGAAGGGAAAATTGTGTTGGGTCCCCAGAAAGTGCTGGCACACGCACTGATGTATCTGTGCAGCGGCAGCAGAGGGGTCTGCTGGGGAGTTAGGAGCAGAGTTTACCACAAGTCCAGTCTCCTACAACCTCATTTCCTGCTCAAACCATCTGATAGTCAAATTTGTCCATATTTTTTTCAAGAAAAGCAAGGATTGCAGGGAGATGGTATATACAAACATCTGCTTATTTTTGGTTTGGTTTCATTAGGTGTGTGGAAAAAGCTGGTAAGCTTTTGAACTCAGTGTTTCTACAGTAAGTTGTTGAAAAGCTTGCCTGTTTTTTCTGACTACCATTTGGCTTAATAAAAGATAATGCCTCCCCCTACAAATCTGGTTTATCTTGCATGGATAATGGCAGTTGTTTATATGCTCACAAATTAATGTGACTGTAATGGCTACCTCTCAGACTTCAAAAGAGAAGGTAAGAATCAAAGTCATGGGAAGCGTCAATTTTTATTACACTGCCTCCTTGCACATAGAGAAAGCTCTGAAAGTTAGAGAAGTGCCACAGCAAACCTTCCCCACACGTAAATGCGAAATCCTGACACCACAAAAATCAGTGCCCGAGCAATTGCCCCTCCAAGAGCACTCCAATCGGAGTCACGTCTTAAATTTCAGAAGCTGTCCCTGCTTTACCCAGCAACAGGGGCAGCCCCCACAAGCGCCGCAGCAACCGAGGGCGACCGTAGCTGAGGTCAGTGCATCGCTCTTCAGCCAGACAGCAGCGATGAGCCCACGTCACCGCCCCGGGAAGGGCAGAGTTAATTATACCACACTAAACATTCAGGTCTACAGAGCCCTTCATTTTACTTTATACCTCTTTTTTTTTTTTTTTTTTTAATCACTTAGATTTTTAAAAGACAAAAGGAAGGCACCATGTGAAAACATCACTATGGAAACATCACGGGCTCACTTGTACTTGCCTGCCAAGCGACTACCTAACTGAAGTTTTACATCCTATTGGATCACTGTTGGCCATCTGCTCTCCTTCAAACTTCTCTGAATTCCATATTTCCCTGAAAAGCTCATTTTTAGAAAGGAGGGAGGAGGAGGAGGCAAGGGGAGAATCCAGCATTCTTGGCTAGCGCAGAGCTATTGTGAAAAAGGAAGATAAACTCACTTTGGGGCAGCCCCTTAAAAAGATAAAAATCCTTGTTTTGCAAAGTAGTTTCATAGAAAATATCCCATTTCTAGATGCATTTTAATGATAAGAGTATATATTGGCAGCCACAAGGCAAAACAAATAAACAGCTGCTTGCAGTACTCTCAGGCTAATTGTCTTCCTCTCTCCTTCTCTCATTTAGTGTCAAATGTATTTTCTTCTAAAATGCAACAGTTACTGCCTCCGCTGGAGCTGCTGGCTGCAGGCTCCCCAGCCTTGCTCCAAATAAAACACAGAAACAGATTTCCTGCCAAGCGCTGGGGAAGTTTGAAGACTCTAGTTTTTAAAAATACAATCTTTTTATCAGTGCCCTAAGCCTGCCAAAGGTAATTATAGGCCATGGCGCATTTACATTAATGCATAGGACCAACAGACATTTCAAAAGCTTAATGGAGAAACTCTATAAATAAATGTACATATCGAAAAATAAATTAATTAAACTGTCATGTAAAGATATCACTTAATTTTGCAGAGCGGAAGGCGCTCTTAATGGGAATGGAATGGATCAGTGAGCATTTCAAAACCCAAAGCTGTAATTTAAATTCAGGCTCTCCTCTAGTGTGCAAGTCACAAGACATATTTATTATAGCCTTGGATTGTCAATTGTAATCGGTTTAGCAGAGACAAAGCTGTGTTGTTTTGCTTCCTTGCCCTCCTAGCTGGTTCTATATATTTTGATGTCAGAATATTGACAAGCAAACCAAAGGCTGAAATAAAATCATGTTTGCCTGTGATGAACTGGCAAAAACGCAGTCCAAGGTAAATGCAATGCTGAAGCCTACGTATTTATTTATCAAGCAGCAAGGGAAAAAAGGTGACATGAAGCATTTATATGTCTTTACATAAACCAGTTGAATATATTTACTGCTGCTCTTAAGGCCTGCTATGTGGCAACTTGGACACGAGTAGAAAAAAATAAGTAAAAGCACGTGAAAATGAATAGCATTATTTGTCAGCCACTGCTCTGAGTCTTCCAGGTGGCAGTAACAATTAAAGTTGTTGCTCTTGACACTCTT